AGATGAACTATATGGGTAAACAGAGACAAATATTATTGATTGTGGGTATACTACTTCTTACTTATCTATTCTTCTTTAAGAAAAATGTAGTAAATTTACAATTTGAAAAATAGTTTGGATATACCATATAAAATCCAGCAATATTTCTAGTCAAATTTGTTCGCAAAGCTGAGGCTATTAATATCAGCGACAAACTCTATTTGCCAGTAAAAAATATCGCTCAACTCTAAACACAAAAAATAGTCGCCTTCCTATGGCAAGCCGAAGCAGCATAAAAACTGTTACAGCTGCAGCTGCATGCCCATATTTATATACATAAATATAAAAAGAAATATATATATATATAAATAGCTGGCAGAGGCACAAAGATTTATGCATATGCATATATGTATATATCTCTCAGATATGTGCCGGCCATAAGCAACTTTTGGCCATACTTTACAATTTATTGTGCCTGTCAATTGGCAGAAGGCAACTACACAAAAAAAGAACCCCCCACTTCTAGAAAAGTTATAAATGTATCTCCCATATAGAACTTATGGTACATGCCATGCTTTTGCATATATGAAAAATACTCGTAAGCAAATTTATTCTGCTGAAAATATTACACTTTGATTTCACTTTTGTGGAAAAAAGATGAAATAAACTGTGGCAAAAACAATGTTACTGGTTATGAATTTTGAGATATAATAAATTGTTGGCATTGTTTGCTGCTCAGATTTAAAAGACAATGCAGGCTCTAAAGAGCAGCAGCAAATGCAATGTGGCCTAAAGGTAATTTCCGATTTAACAAACTTTTTTACTTAACTCTAGAATGAGGAAGCAACTCATTCCGAATTAAACTTTGTATACGGTATATGAGAACCACTCATAACTTCCTTTATTGCAGACAAGGAAACACAAAATGAACAGCATAACGATTTGAAAGTTATGAAATAGTTATTAAAAATTTATGAAATGCTTTTTGATTATGCCATAACAGATTTGCATGAATATTATCTAATTAAGAGTACACATTTTACTTTAGCACAACGTTTTTTTCTTTACATTTCCAGCTTGATGGATGGTAAAAGAAATTTATATTGTGGATCAATCAATAAACGATCTTTGATTATAATTTGCCCAAAGTGGTCTAGCTTTAAGTATTGTTGTCTGTCTCCATTGCCTACTTGTGTGGCATTCAACTCGGGTATGACCCAAGCTGCTACACTACCAAGCCGCACATATTGTTGCCAACTGAGTTGCGGGCTGACTGCAAGTGGTTTTCTGACTTTGGGCCATTAACATAAACTTGACACGTTGTCTTCGTCGTCGTCGTTGTCGTCGTCAACGCCTCTGACGAGTTGCCATTCAGTTATCACTCGACTACTTGGCTATGGATACTTTAAAGACGTTACTTCCAAGATTTATGATTAGTCACGATTTTGAGTGCTAAGCGATTTTGGCATCGAGCCCTGCAAAACGTTTGCAATCATTTTCTTGCATATATATTGTTTATTTGTGGTTTGCTTTTATGCAATTGCCAATTTGACAACAATTTGAGGGCACTCATCAGCTGCCAATTAAGCAGCGAGCTGATTGAATAACTGAGGCGTATAATTTCGAAAAAAAAACAACTCGAACCAAAACTTGCGGCAAGTGCAGCAAAATCCGCATGCAATTTCCGAGTGAGCCTTGAAGCACTCTTCTGTCTATCTAATTGGTTATTGTTTACTACACTGCATTAAAAAATGTATGGGGTGCTTACAACTTCAACAACTTTTGAGCTTAACAGCAATCAAGGCAACAAACTCAAACCTGCCTGCATATCTAAGTTGACGATACAGAATTTAATATGCAGCTTAATGAAAGCCTAACTCATTTAATATATTTATATTTATTATATGACATCTAGCACCTCTCTATTTTGATCATAATTAATGGCTTAAGATTTTTCACAGTGCATCTTCAATTCGCATACTCAGAGCTATGCCATTCTTACATATTTTTTAATACAATTTCCACTCTTTGTACTCCTTGCAATTTGCACTTTTTCACATAATTTAAGTGCATCGAATTTACGGTTTGGGGTATCCATCTATCTATCTCTCTCTCTCTCTCTCTCTCTCTCTCTCTCTGTCTCGCTCTATCTCTATCTTATGCCTTATCCTCTGTGGGGATATGTGCATCGCATTCTTTTTGCTTCCTTTCCATCCGTTTTTGGCGTTGACAATGCCACAGACATTGGCATTCCCTGTAGCTCAATGCTCACTGCTCACTGCTCAATGCTCGATGATTATTCATTGTTGTTGCTCGTAGTTTGCGGCTTTTGCCGTGCTTAATGCCAATATCAAAGTGTTGTATGCGAACCAAGAGTTACAGTCCGCTCTATATGCACATCGCTTGCACACCATTTGCATCACCGCATAATACAGAAATCGAAGCAAGTCAGGCGCAATTCGTAGATACGCGTGTTTCATGCCCATCAGCCGTCAGTCTCTCCCCCAACTATCATCCCCCCAACAAGAAAAAAAATGTAGTGACTTCCGAAAGGAGGTCATACATAATAGGCATGAGATGGGTGTGTTTTGAGGAAAACCGCAAATGTGACTGTAACTAAATGAAATTGAAAAAGTGCAAAAAAAAATCATTTCAGTCGAAAAGAAAATGAAAACTTGAACAAAAAAAAGAAGTAAATACCTTATTTTTACTTGTGAGTGTAGGTTTCATCAATTCTATCTTAAAAAAATTTTCTTACATAACACCAAATCTTGTTAATCACTTTAATATTTGTGCTATGGCCTATCTGATCACGTACGGCATACTATTATTAATGTTCATAATCCTACAGGGATTAAACGCTTTACGATCTTATCAATACAAACAAAAAGAAACTTACAGTCCAAGTAACTGCTAGTAGATAGATTAGATGTAGCGACTCCTATATCACAAACAGCTAAATGTCATTTATTAATTAACTGCACTTTAGTCTTTCAATAATTTCGGACTTGAACAGAGTCAAAAAAATATGCTTAAAGTGTCGGTGGTAATCCTGGCACTGATTAATTTCACAGTGTTGGCGCTCGATCCGTATGATCCTTACATTGACATACCTTTTAAGAGAGTCAAGACCTCGGTTAGTCGTCTCACCAAATCTGGGATTTTAGCCATTACAATAAGCAATATTCTGGTTTTTTGCCATTTTGCAGGCACAACGCATTGAATCGTTCGGTTACCCGGCAGAAACACATGAGGTGGAGACGGAGGATGGCTATCTGCTGAACATGTTCCGCATTCCGTATTCACCCAATCTGGACAATGCGAAAAGCCCGCGTCCGGCTGTGCTCATACAGCACGGTCTGTTCAGCTGCTCCGATTGTTTCCTGCTCAATGGGCCGGACAATGCTTTGGCCTACAACTATGCGGATGCAGGCTATGATGTCTGGCTGGGCAATGCACGTGGCAATATCTACTCTCGCAATCACACCAAAATGAGCACCAAACATCCATACTACTGGGCGTTTAGCTGGCATGAGATTGGTGCCTACGATCTGCCCGCCATGATAGATTATATTCTAGCAACCACCGGCGAGAAGGCGGTGCATTATGTCGGTCACTCCCAAGGCTGCACCACATTCTTTGTCATGGGAGCCACACGTCCGGAATACAATGACAAGATTAAAACCGCCCACATGCTGGCACCACCAATCTTCATGGGTAATACCACTTTTGACGTATTTATTTCCCTCGCCACCGTAATGGGTTCACCTGGCTTGGGCGCTGAGCTAATGCAGAATCAAGTATTTTTACCCATGAATCCTGTGATTCAGCGCCTTCTGGACATGGCCTGCAGCAATGATCCCCATTTTTTCAGCTTCTGTAAAATTGTGGGCAGGTGGTGGAGCGAAGATGTTGGAAATTTAAATGTGGTAAGTACTCTGCAAAATCGCACCTAGAATAATCTTATAAGTAACTTTCAAGGAGTCTCAATTATTGAAATATATAATAGACATTTAATTAAATTATTTTCATGGCTTTAAATTCGAATTGGATTACGTAAGAAAAAACGATCGCCATAATTTTCCTTAACTCTGCCCTACTTGCAGACGCTACTGCCACAAGTGGCAGAGACACATCCCGCTGGCATATCCACAAATCAGGGCATACATTTTATGCAATCCTATGTATCAAATGAATTCCGTCAATATGACTGGGGACCTAAGAAGAACCGGGCCAGGTATGGCACAGATGTGCCGCCTTCATATGACATAACAAAGATCACATCGAAAATGTATTTGTACTCCGGACTGGCCGATGAGTCAGCTAATGTCAAAGATATTGCAAGGTTGCCCGAGTTATTGCCAAATCTGCAGGAGCTCTACGAGATAGAGAATGAAACCTGGGGACATTTGGACTTCATATTCGCAACGCAGGTTAGGGAAATTATCAACGACAAAGTTATCGCGATTAGCAAACTACATGATAATCTCTAATCCACAGCAATATTCAAACTTTGTTATGTACTCAAATATAACTGCTTTGGATTATCTTATTGCGTGCCTATTTTATCTGCTGTCTATTATTATTGTTTATAGATATATGTTTTAAATGCAACGAAATTAAAATTAAACTAAAAACCCAATCATAACTGATAACAACTCAAATAATATAACAAGTAATAATCAAAATGATATGCGTGTATTGATTAATATTTATTAAGATAATAATAATAAATCTCGTAACATTCGTCACTCACGAATAGCATCAGCGAGATTATTGATTAAATTTATAAGCTATTTATGTCACTGGTAATTAATGGCAATCGATTGGCTTCTTACCCCCTGAGTTGCGATTAATCGAACTGATTTAAAGGCACATAAATCTCGCATGGATTTTATTAACGAAAGTGATTCTTATCAAGAGTGTCAAAAACCCACGAAGTCAAGTGACTGCTAATCAAAAGATTAAATGTCGCTATGGTGAAACCAGATATAAGTATTTTATTAATAAAATACATTTTAGTCTTTCAATAATTTCGGAGCTGAACAAACGTGTACAAATATGCTAAAAGTTTCGGTGATCATCCTGGCATTGATCGCCACAGTGCTGGCTGTCGAGTATGATCCTTACATTGATATAACCTTAAAGAAAATCAAGACCTCGGTAAGTACCAGCCCAAAATTACAATAATGACCCATACAGATTTCAAACACACAGTTAAACAATTTATTTAAAAATCTTCAGAAATTAAAATTCAAAAGTTACTTTAACACCAAAAGAACTTCAACGATTTTTCTTCCAATGGAAACATTATTTTTAGCCCAATTCTACTTCTGTACTAATAAATAAATACCATGTTGCAATTAAATCTAATCAATCGACAAAAATACTTCTGGTATTGAATTCACAATCTAGTTGTTTACTGTGTGGCCCCTTGGGATTTTAGCCATGATTGTGTGTAACGCTAAGCAATATTCTGGTTTTTTGCCATTTTGCAGGCACAACGCATTGAATCGTTCGGTTACCCGGCTGAAACACATGAGGTGGAGACGGAGGATGGCTATCTGCTGAACATGTTCCGCATTCCGTATTCACCCAATCTGGACAATGCGAAAAGCCCGCGTCCGGCTGTGCTCATACAGCACGGTCTGTTCAGCTGCTCCGATTGTTTCCTGCTCAATGGGCCGGACAATGCTTTGGCCTACAACTATGCGGATGCAGGCTATGATGTCTGGCTGGGCAATGCACGTGGCAATATCTACTCTCGCAATCACACCAAAATGAGCACCAAACATCCATACTACTGGGCGTTTAGCTGGCATGAGATTGGTGCCTACGATCTGCCCGCCATGATAGATTATATTCTAGCAACCACCGGCGAGAAGGCGGTGCATTATGTCGGTCACTCCCAAGGCTGCACCACATTCTTTGTCATGGGAGCCACACGTCCGGAATACAATGATAAGATTAAAACCGCCCACATGCTGGCACCACCAATCTTCATGGGTAATACCACCACAGGCATCATTCTTTCCCTGGCTTCCGCTGTGGGTTCACCTGGCTTGGGCGCTGAGCTGTTGCAGAATCAAGTATTTTTACCCATGAATCCTGTAGTTCAGCGAATCTTGGACACGGCCTGCAGCAAAGATCCCCATTTTTTCACCTTCTGTCAAATTCTGGCCCAGTGGTGGGGCGATGATGTTGGCAACTTAAATGTGGTAAGTACACTGAAAAATTATAGCTAAAGTAATCTAATATGTAATGGATACGTACACAGCAATTTGTTTCCTTCTTATTTGTTATATATTAATATATTGTATTCAAGTTTGCCTCAATTTATTCAATTCCTCTATTCTACCCCACTTTCAGACGCTGCTGCCACAAGTGGCGGAGACTCATCCGGCCGGCATTTCGACAAATCAGGGCATACACTTTATACAATCCTATGTATCAAATGAATTCCGTCAGTATGACTGGGGACCAAAGACGAATATGGACAAGTATGGTACAGATGTGCCGCCTTCATATGACATAACAAAGATCACATCGAAAATGTATTTGTACTCCGGACTGGCCGATGAGTCGGCTAATGTCCAAGATATTGCACGGTTGCCCGAGTTATTGCCAAATCTGCAGGAGCTCTACGAGATAGAGGATGAAACCTGGGGACATTTGGACTTCATATTCGCAATGCAGGTTAAGGAAACTATCAACGATAAGGTTGTCGCGATAAGCAAGCAATACGATAATCTATAAAAACAACTTAATCTGCAGCGTGCGTTAATCTAATCGCAAATTGTTTGTTCCTGCGAAGTTCTTCAATAAACTTTTGCCATAAGAATAAAGCAGCAAATCTTTAACAAAGTGAATGAGTTATGCTTGGTGATGGTCGAAGGCAGGGAGAGGCAAGCTCAGCATTAGTCACAAACTATGCTAGCTAATTATCTAGAGAATTAACACCGATGGTTTGTTATATAAATACCCTGCAGTTATAATTGTATTAGCAATTTGATAGCTATATTATTTAGAAATATCATAAAAATTGTACCAAAATCTCATTATCAGCACAAAAGTAATTTAATCACTTCAATATTCTTGACACAGGGTATTTCTTGGCTGCTCTGATTGCTTTGCATGCTTAATTACTTGTTAGTTTTTTTAGTTATTTTAATATTTTTTTTTTTTTGGTTATCTTTGTTGACAAAGTTTTGCGTGGAGCACGTGGTTACCACAAAGTGTAACTTATCAGACAGCTCGCTTTTTGGGTTACATATACTCTTAAGCCGGAAAAGAGCTGACAAAATTACTGTAATTAGGGTCCGGTTGGATCTTACGCTGGTGTTTGCTCTTAGCGTGGTCAACAGCTACAAATACGGACATAACCATGATTCACTAGCTTAAGGTATGAGGTAGCCATATAATCAAGAGACGTGCTTCAAATACCCAATGACAACGTTAATTATTACAGTTTGTATTAAATTATAGAAATAGAGAAGTTTTCTATGATTCAATTTAGATGGAAAACTCGGCACTTAAGGTACTTTATTCAAATTTTGTAAGTAGTAGAGATATATAGGAAAAAATATAAAAATATATATAAACCAGTGAACCGGCAGACGTTAGTGAAGTCCCTAAAAGAGAAAGATAGAGATAGGTACTTCAGTAGTCGATAAACTAAAGAAGATACTTGATACTGTAAAATAAAGATGAGTATATTTCCATATTAAACAAATAAAAAATTGCGGACCAGCAGCAGCTGTAAGTAACGAGAGAAACATACAAGTTCAAGTGGCTACTGCATAATAAACACACCAGCAGCATTAATATTAAAGCCAACCAAGAGAAAATCCAGCATGGAAGCACTTTAGAGCAGATTGAAGTGGCACCAACTCGCAGTCGAAGAGAGGTTTTCATTTGCAAAGCTTAACCACTAGAATATTCATTAATGACAAACTGCTGATGTGGAAAATGGATAATGCTGGTAAAGGAATAAGGATGAGGATGTAGGTGATGTAGGTGACCCACCTAGGGTTATGTTAAGTGTGTCAGCAGACATTAAGCAAAATAGAAAAAAATTAAAATTAATAACCTGTGAAGATATGCCTTCCGACAACACAAAAGTTGTCTGCTTGTCCTGTTATTAATCCCATATTTTCTTTCAAACAGAAACCGTTAAGAGTTTTTCACTAATCAGCAAATTCTTTAAGTGAATACCACATGGAATTAATTTAGTTGTATATTATTATTGCTCTTAAGCTAACAATAATAACGTAAGCGACTAGTGAATGACTTAACTAATTTGTAGAATGTAAAACAAATCATCTTTGTAGGGTGCGAATTATGATTTAACGTTGTTTTCTAGCCAAGAGTACCAAGAATACAAACCAGTGACAAAAGTTAGGTGGCTGCTTTGTTTAACTTGACTTCATGCAAAGAAAGTGTTGCACACTTTTAGGAGCACATAGCCAAAGATGAAGAAGCTCTAAATTGGTCAACTGCTTAAGGGTTTTCAAAGGACATGATGTGCTAGAATCACAAGGACCAGCCCTATCGACCTAAATTCAAGGAATAGTTGGTTATCTATGAACACACAACACAACAAAATTTCATCGGAAGGGTAAACGGATGTGAATCGTAATAAGAAAATACTATTTAATGGAGCATCTAGATCAAAAAGATCGTTTTAAACTTAAATAAAACTTAACTAATTACTAATATATACATAAATATAATTCCACCCCTACGAAAAAAGTTAATCAGTAAAAATACCAAATTTAATTTAGAATTTGTCAAAAGGCAAACTTAAGTGGCAATAAGTTTACTTTTTTGTTGGCAATAGCTGAATACATATTTAAGCAACCATTCTGCAGGCATCAAAACAGCACCGACGACAATCAGAGAACGCAGTCAAAGTTGCAATTGCAAATTGAAAAATCTGCGCATAAGAGTGAGAAATGCAAGTACAGCTAAAAAACAAGAAAACTTACAAGTGACAAGTGGCAAATGGCGCAGTGTGTTTGCTCGCCAAATGTTTATTCTGAAAGTTGAAACAAAGTTTTCTTTAGCCCAGTTAAAAGCAGCGCATTATGATAATATTTTAGAATATAAGTAATTGTCTATATGTACGTATGTAAATGCTCGTAGCTACGAAAATGCTGTTAGAGTTGTAATTTTTAGTCTGACATTTTGTTTACTCTAGCAGTTTTTGCGTTTGCGGCAATTAAGTTGTAATTTGCATATTATAATCAAAAATATTTGCATCCACAGCAAAAATTTAAATTAAACTGAAAACTTGACATTTGGCAGTGCAAGCAGTGCACTGCTTACTGCAGTTTTCGAAAAGCTGTGCTCCACAGCCCCATAGCAAGCAGTGTGTGTAAGGTAGAGAACTTAGCTAAAGCTTAAGCGCATGAAATTGGGAATATTATTAGAAAAGTGAATACAACAAAATTTTCGAGACTATTTAGAATAATATTTTAGTTTCTTATGATAAATGTAAAAATATTAAACAATTAAATCTCTTACAATAGAAATATAGGACACCTATTATCGATTTAAAACTGCTGATATCTTACCGCAACTTCTTTAGAAGGTTCTCGATGAATATTATTCTAACTCGCTCGAAAAACTCGAAGACTTTGCATAGACCTATGCTTAAAAAGAGCTGCTCCTATGAAATCTTCATATATCGATCGAAGTAACTTGTTGTCTGTGCAATGGCTTGGGATTCAGTTTATTGACACGGTGGGAACGAGAGCTACAAAATAATTGAATGAACATATCAAATTTCAATCAGAGCTAAATCTTATTAAGTGCCCAACGGCCAAAAGAAAAAAGCAACAAAAATAAATGATATTAGGAGAACTAGAGAAGTTTTCACGCCTCTGAGCAACAGCAAGAATAACAACAACAACGTAAATGACGACAATAACACGCCCCGCAGCTAATCAGGATCTAATGGCGATAAATATTTCATTCCATATTTTTTGGCAGATCGCACGTACAACTCCCAAAGAGCAAAGTGCGGACACGCCTCATCTTTGATCTCATACTGTGCAGAGGCCAGTGATGTAATTTTAGCCACTTTTCGGCTGGGTCATTCATTTTTAAACTGTGACCCAATAATATTTAAAAAAATAAAACAAGCTTCGACATTTGCTTAAGCTTTTGAATTAAATAAAATTGTTTTTTTGCCCTAAAAGTTGCCCTAAATATTTTTCTTATGTTTTTTTATTTGTGAATTAACAGTTGATATTTGTTAATACTGATACCAATTCGTAGTCGCAATCGCCGTTTCAAGCATCATCAAGCCAAACACAAAGGTAGCATGCATCCGGCAACATCAGCAGGAGAAAAAACGCCAGACTAAATCTTCAATGCAGTCGACAATCGTGGAGACGATGACTATGATCAAACATACACATACAGGCACTGACCAGGCACTGGCCATTCAGGCAGTCCGCAAATTCACTAGTTGGTCGACTAAAGAAGGCAAATGCCTCTACCTCCACCTCAGTCTTTGCCTTTAACTTTTCCATTCCTGTGTTATGAATCGTTCAGTTTTAAACAACTTTTTGAGTACAACATGGGCGGGTGCGCCGCTAAAGATGGGGATGTGGTTGAAACTGAGGATGAGGATACGACTGGCTGCCATTATGAGTAATGGGAATAATGCCTGGCATTTGTTTACTTGCCGCGCTTCATTGCCGACATCCCAGAATATAAACTAAAGCCCTACAGACTGCGCTGCGTGTGCTCTATGGGTTTTTTTTTCATTTTTGTCTTTACATTGGAAGGGAATATACTCGCATGTGGTTGCATTGTGGTTGGGAAACGATTTTACAATGGGTTAGTCGAATGAGCAATGAGTAAACAGAAAGAGAGACATAACTTAAATTCAGACTTAGTTTATTTTATCTCCCCCATTAAGATATCAAGTTTTATACTGACTAAGATTAAGCTAACGGCTCTCTAACATTGCTTATAAGTAAATCAATAAATTAATCAAATTAAATAAAATACATTACAATACGCTCATACATTATCTTTAAATGATCAAAACCTCTCACGTCATTATAATATTTTGACCCAATTATAGCATTTCAACTTTAACTAACACTTTAGAAACTAACAAAATAAGCATGAACAAATTTTGAATAATCCCAAACAAATGGAATCTTTAAAGTCTCTTCTATGTCAACTCCCACACAAGCAATGACTTTAAAATATTTAGTGCTCTTAAGCAATGTACATATGGAAGAGAAAGCATAAACGCGCTCTTCCTCTCTTAAGTTGCAGCTTTCAAAACAAGAATCTTTGGCGGAGAAGAACATTTGTATGATTGCAACTTTCTTTGGGTAGACGCTTTTCTTAAAAGCAACGTGCCAACACAATGGTAACCTCAGTTAGTAGCCAACACGCGACGCGTTCAGAACGAGCAAACAACGAGCAACGACGAAGATATAGAAGAAGAGCTGACCATAAAAATACAAATAGTCTTAAGGATGAGAGCGACGAAAGAGAACTTTAAGTGAAGTGAAGTGCAGCAAAGCAAACACACATCGTACAAACTGCGATTTTTGTTATTGTTTTGGTAATTCAGAAATAATAATAAAAAAATAAAAGAAAAAACCGAAAAAGGGTAGCCACCGAAAAGCAAATAAAACTTAATGACCAGCTCACAAGTGGATAAACATTTTCAACAGCAACAGAAGAATCTGTGAAGAACTTCATAGGTATGTGAACTCTAGCTACTTGCACACACAATACTTTAGAAATATTTAGATATAGAAGAAAAGGCGCACTCATTAGCGTGGTATTGTCCATAAGAACTCCTTTCGCAAACTATCCATGGAAAATTCTTG